TTCTCCAGTTTTATATTAAAACACTTTACAGGATTTTATTGTTGATCTTTTAACTCTTCTATTTTTCTAAGGTCCACATCTGTGTGCCCAGTTTTCTATAATCCTGTTGCTGCTATAAACACCAGACTATTGAGGGACAATAAAGTGATTTTCTATTCTATTGTACAGTGGAGGGGAGTGATGCTGATGGAAATCACAGCAGCAGGAGGTGAAAAGCTGCTTTAGCAGATGAATGCAGTATTCCTGCTGTACCCACCTGCTGACACGAAGCTTCTTAATCCGCTTTCACTGTTTACATTAGCTTCCGGTTTCAGTCGAAAGTATCTGAATTTATAGGATTTCTACATCTGGAATCAAAGTTCTGCTCTGACCTGACAGAAGAACCGGAACCCTGGATCTACCCGCTGACCAATCAGGAACCAGCTCAGTTACCCGCCTGGCTAACCAGTTAGCTTCCAGTCCCTGACCGCATGAAGTTAACTAAAGCTTCCGTTCACTGATGTCCGACAGGTTCGGTTCTGACCCGGTCCGTTTATCAACAGATGCACGAGCTGCTGACGTGTCCGATTGGTCAGTTTCCGGTTAGCCGCAGTGCTAGCCTGTTAGCCTCAGAGCTCCGCAGCAGGAAGCGGGGATCCTGGCAGCGCTCCGCTCCAACCTCCGCTGCTCCTTCGCTCCGGGTCCCTGAAGGGGGGTCGCTGCCTCAGACCGGCAGCAGGTTATTGATGTTCTCCCGCCGCGCGCCCCTCTGCTGCTGTTTAGTTTCCGGTCCCAGGCTTCTTCTGCTGGGGCATAGCGGAGCTCTGCTGCCACCTGCGTTCACAGCGAGAACTGCAGCCTGTATGAGAGGAGCTCAACAGCTAATGTTGCATGCTAACCTGCTGGGTACTGCTAACCCTTCCTACTGGTACTAAACTGGTTCTAGAGCTGGAACCAGCTCCACAGCTAATGTTGCTAATTGCATGCTAACCTGCTGGTGCTAAACTGCTTCTCAGCTCCACAGCTAATGTTGCTAACTGCATGCTAACCTACAGGTGCTCACATGGTTCTAGAACTGGAACCAGCTCCACAGCTAATGTTGCTAACTGCATGCTAACCTACAGGTGCTCACATGGTTCTAGAACTGGAACCAGCTCCACAGCTAATGTTGCTAACTGCATGCTAACCTACAGGTGCTCAC